AGTCCCCTCTAGAACGGTTCGCGTTCCCCCCACTAACTTCAAATCATCCCCCTAGGTGGCTCCTCATGATTCCACGAAGGAACCGGAAAAAAGAATTACTTTGAGGAGGTAAAAGATCATCCCGACATCTCATCTATACATGCTCTTTCCATAGGGTTGAAAACCATCTCCCTCCACCGGTTAATGACCACGTACTTCTAAGGTCTAAGGGGCTTTACACGGGTTGTAATGACACGGCTTAAGGTAGAGGTCGGAAGAACAATTTAAAATAGTGGCAGTATTCCCTAAGTGAAGCAAGAGGAAGGGCAACCCTCAAGGTCAAAATTCAAGACATAACCACAACTCAAACGAACATCCAAACATTTTGATTTCATTCGCATCACTAACTTTATTCAAGGATATACAAGATAGATCAATTTCTCATATCACTTTTTTCTCTTTTTCTCTCTTATTTATTTATTTTATTTATTTATTTTTTATTTATTTATTTTTTCAAAGCATCACACTACCCAAATTTTCTTTCATGCTCAAATTTAGACTTTCATCTCAAGAATTTGCTCCAAACCAATTTCATCAAAGGTTCATGCTCATATCCACTACACTCTTTATACTAGCCTTACAAGCCTAGTGATTCACTAACTAAAAGGGTTGGTAAAACATAGGTCGTTAAGCTTGTAATGGGGTTGAGACAAGGATGGGAAACATTAGGCTCAAATTAGTTGGCAAGGAGGTTGATGCAAAAGCGAAAACCAAATTTGTAACTAAATAAAAGAAAATATAAATGAAAATGAGAAATGATGCCCTTTTCCTCCCCCAAAAGTCCAAGGTCACAATCTTAGGAGTTAATAATCAACACAAGGATTCAAACGTGCATAGATGAGGATCCTAAAAACGCCGCTCAACAAATTGATGAAGGCATGAACAAAATGAACCTCACTAGGGACGAGAAGAGTAAGCAACTACCAACTAGGGGGCATCAAATCCACTATGAGGAGCAACTCCATCTTACCACAAACCGTGAACTAAGGGTTCAAATGCCATCACTAGTTCTTGCCTTTACTACCTTGACTAAGACTCGACTAATTCAATCAACAACAATCTCAAAATGTGCATCTCATCACAAAGTTAAGAACGAAGAAACAAGAATTCTAAGGTGCATCATCACGGAGATAGAGTCCCAATGTAGTAAGCAAGTTCCAAAATACCACTATATCATCATGCCATAATTACGCTTATCACAAATAAAAAAAAAAGGAAATGAAACAAAAGAAAGGAGTAAAGAGGGTTCACATATGAGGCATAAAGATTCAAATAAATCCCAATCGACATACAAGTGATTGTTCGGTATCAATACCAACGATCCCAGGTTCCTTGGAACCGCATGCAAACATCCTCGAACCATTCAACTCCTTCCTAGGCTAAGAAGAAAAAACTAAACACACCAAAAAGAAAAAGGAAGGGTCTCACCGAATGCCGCTTGAATTTGGAATGCGCAGTCATACCATACTCACCATCGGGTTTGCAATTTGAAGTGCGGGTGAGTTGTTTTTGAAGTTCCTTCTTCAATCTGCATCAGTGAGACAAGGAAAACACACCAAAAAGAAAGAAAGAAAAAGAGCATAAACTATATACAAAGGATTAGATCTTCCCATAATAAACATAAAAAACAACAGGATATCAAATAAAAGCAGCGGAAATAGACAGCAAGCTAAGATTCCCCCCCCCCCCCACACTATAGTGATGCAAGCCCCTTATATACAAAAGAATCGACTCCTGACACTTATACCCCCCCCCCCCCCCCCACACTTAGAAGGAGTAACGACCTCGTTGCTCCAAGACAAAACAAAGGAAGGGAAGGACAGGGGGAATAACCAAGAAAAACAGGGGGCTAGTGCCCACTAGGGCCAGGATCACCGAAGTCCGACCCCGTATCCCCGTAGGAGAATCCGTCAGGTGGGCCGTGGGGATCCCAACCTCCAGTGTAGCCTGGAGGCCAACCATAATGACCTCGGAAGAGGTCTTGTTGCCAAGTAGGCAACGGGTCGAATTGGGGGGGCATGGTTAGGGGTTGGGGGTGGGTGGGGTCAACATAGGGGTAATTGGGATCACCCTTATAATCACTACCACCCGGCAACCTATAATCATAGGACCCGGATGCGTCAGGGAAATCATGGCGCACCCTATTTGGCTCGAAAGGTCCTTGCCAATAGGGGTAGGTAGGGGCGTTGTCACCCCCCACGATGGCACTGGGCCATGCTGGGGAGGCCAATATGGATAATTGACCGGAGGCGTGACATTGCCTCTATCTACATGCATATCATAAATAGACTGCTGTTGGAGAAACATACCTTGCTGGGTTTCAAATAGGCTTTGAACACCCAACTGGAGGCTCCCCATTCACTGCTCAAGGCTTTCCAAGCCTTGGCTTTGGAAGAACTGCTGCTGTTGTTGCTGTTGATGTTGATGTTGTTGTTGTTGATCCACCATCTCCTCATCATCCTGCTCAAATACAAGGCCCTCTCCTCGATCGGCTCCAGGAAGGAAACCATTGTCCCTCCTAACCCAGTAGATGTTTCTGGACTCCCATTGGAAGGAGGTAAGATCCGGGTTTGGGAGAAAGAAACAGTGTGCATGAGACACCAACCAATCATAAACTCCCTCTATAGGGGTGAAGGCAATGAATCCCAACCTTTTAAATTGATCAAGATAGAGAAAGATGTCACTGCTCTTCCCAACCATAGTGCAAGAGGGGAGGAGGTCCCCATGCCCAAGCTTCAAGGCTAACCTTGTTACCATACTCCCACAGGCAATTTCGCCGGTCTTCTTCCCCTTGGCGATTGATAAGCAATTTTTGATGAAGAAGTAGCCTAGGTTCACTCTTCGGCCTAAGGTGGGTTGAGTAGCGAACCACAGAGTGAGAATATCCTCCCTAGACATCTTCCCTAAATCCTGCTTGTTGAAAATAGCGTATCCAAGTATACGGTGCAAGATTCTTAGGGCCGGGTGAGCGATCTCACTGGCTAAGGAGTAGCGGGTTTTGAACTCTTCTTTTCCCGTGATCCCCCTCCACCAATGTCTTTCATTATAACCTTCGAAGGAGGAGTTCTCGGGAGCGACAAGGTTAGCATCTGGATTAAAGTCCAGGGCAATGTTGAGCTCTCTCAAGGATATTGAATGAGATTTGTTGAAAAGCTGGAAGGTTACTCTAAAGTCGTCATCCCCCACAGCTTCACTGGAGAAAGTGGAAAAGAATTCAAGGGTTGGCTCAAGGTAGGTGTTGAATGACGAGTTCACAAATGTACCCAAATTGAGGTTCTTAAAGAGTACCCAAATGTCTTCGTCGACACCCAGGTTTGTGGTGGCAGGACGGTGATAGTGCTTGGAGGGTCTAAGCTTCCTCTCTTTCATTTTTTTGTAGTTGGCTTCGTGGTTGTTATTTTGGAAGGTAAGAGGGGGTAAAGTTGGTTGATTTTGTTGGGATTGGGAAGGTTGGGAGGGTTGTGGTTCCGTCCCACTCTTTGATCGTTTTCTACTGAATTTCAACATCTTCGCCCCAACCACTTCTCAAAAGTTTATACCACAAAGAATTTCACACCAAAACACCGAAAATATCAACCCAAACCACAATTCGAAGAGTACCAACCCAAAAATTCAATCGCACTACCAAGTGAAATCCTACAAAACAACAATTAGCACAACGAATACAACAACAACAACGTAACAAAGTTAGTCAATAGGCAAGGAGCTCATGAGATATATACATCACCCAAACAATTCTCAAAATTCCCAAACTACTCACACTCATCATGAAATTCATGGCCAACAATTTACAAATCATAAACCCACAAATACCTATATCTAACAATTCACAATTCCCTAACTATTTCAAGAAAATCCCAAAAATTGCAAATCATCCGCAAGTATTTCATTAGAATCACATATTTGCAATAATACTCATATACATGTCAATATAATCATAAGAATTGCAAAAATATCACATGTATTTCAATTGAGTCAAAATTTCTCCCACAAACATCACAAATGCAAGAAGTCTATCATGAATTCTATCAAAATCTAGCAGAAATTAGGCTTAAGGAGTTAGATATACCTTCTTGAAGATGAAAATTCGAACGAAAACTTCACCGAGGAGGCTAGCTTCGTGCAATGGGAGATTGGGGTTTTTGGAGTTTTCTTGAAATTTCTTGGGTGAGAATAAAGGGTTTTTGATGAGCAAAAGTGTGCAAAGTGAGGTTTTGGTGAGTGTTTGATGAATTTTGAGGGAGATTTGGGGAGGAAAGGTGGGGATTTTGAGGTATTAGGAAGGTTAGCAATGGAGGTTAGGGTTTAGGGGAGAGAGAGATGTGAGAGATTGAGAGTGAAAATGAGGGTGAAAGCATACATACCTGCCGTTTTTCTGAACTGCAATCGTGTGCGCCCGCGCAAATCCACCTGCGCGCCCGCGCAGACCTGTGAGAGAGCCCTCTCACGGGCGCGAATGCCATCTACAGAAGCATTGGCCCCTTTTTTTCAGAAAGTGCGCGCCCGCGCTAGGGACTCTGCGCGCCTGCGCAGACTTGTGAGAGAGCCCTCTCACGACATCTACAAAATATTTTTCCTCCTTCAATCAATCTCAAAATGTTCTCTAACTCTACTAAAAATTCCTAACACATCAAACTAAATTGTTTATCAATATTACAAACCCCATTAAAAACATATTAAAGTTCGAGTTCAAAACGACAATACTCTTGTATTACGGAATTGGCTTCGAGAGCTTTCATCCCGAGATCATCAAAAGCGCATAAATGTCGTTAATTCTCTTCATTGTGCTCCTTCCTTGGGCCTACTTGACCTACAATAAAAACAACTATGGATTAGATTCAATCATAAAATCTAGTTACGAAAATAAAAAATTCAAAGAATAGAAGGGAGAAAGGGGCTCGGGTTGCCTCCCGAGAAGCGCTTCTTTTTAAGGTCATTAGCTTGACCATTGTTCCGATTCATTAGGGCTCAACAAGAGAAGGCTTGTAATCCATAGGATCAAGCCTAAGGCACTCAATACGACCAACTTCGTTCCCTGAATGATAGAGTTTGATGCGGTGTCCATTAACCCAAATCTTGTGATCGCCCGCATCTAGCTCAAAGGACCTATAAGGAGTAACATTAGAAATCTTGAAAGGACCAAACCATTTGGATTTCAGTTTTCCGGGGAAAAGACGAAGTCTAGAGTTGAAAAGTAGAACTTCATCTCCAACCTTGAATTCCTTGAACCTTATCCTTTGATCGTGCCACTTCTTTGTTTGCTCCTTATAAAGCCTTGAATTCTCATATGCATCGAAATGAAGCTCCTCTAGTTCATTCAATTTCATCAACCTTTTCTTTCCGGCTTCCCCAAGGTCCATATTAAGCTCCTTGATAGCCCACCAAGCCTTATGTTCCAAGTCTACCGGGAGATGGCAAGCCTTTCCATAAACCAACCGGTATGAAGTAGTTCCTATCGGGGCTTTGTAGGCCGTTCTAAGGGTCCATAGAGTATCATCAAGTTTGAGGGATCAATCCTTTCGAGTCTGGTTCACCATTTTCTCAAGTAGGTTCTTGATCTCTCGGTTCGATACCTCAACTTGGCCTTGGGTTTGGGGATGATATGGGAGCCCTACTTTATGGTGGACACCATATTTCTTAAGGAAGGCTTCAAGTTGCTTCTTGGCAAAGTGCGATCCACCATCACTAATTAGAGTCCGAGGCACCCCAAGTCTTGGAAAGATGATCTTCCTTAGAAGATTTAGGACTACTTTGTGGTCGTTGGTTGGCGATGGTGTAGCCTCTATCTACTTGGTCACGTAGTCAACCGCAACCAATATATAAGCATTTCCACATGAGGACACGAATGGACCCATGAAATCAACCCCCCAAACATCAAACGGTTTAACTTTAAGGATACCCAATTGAGGCATTTCATCCCGTTTTGTGATGCCTCCCGCTCTTTGGCACCTATCACACCTAGATATGTATCGTTGGGCATCACGATGCATGGTAGGCCACCATAGAAGGGGTTGAGAGATTTTAGCCACAGTTTTAGTCACACCACCATGTCCTCCACACGGTAGTGAATGGCAATGTTCAAGCACACCCTCAATTTCATGGTCCGGGACACACCTCCGGAATATACCATCCTCACATTGTTTGAATAATAATGGGTCGTCCCAAAAATACCGCCATCCTTCTTTGAAAAACCTCTTTTTTTGCTGAGATGAGTATTGGTATGGGATAATTCCACTAGCTAGGTAATTTGCGAAATCCGAAAACCACGGACTAGGAGAAGAAGCGATAGCCATAAGGGTATCAACACCCATCTCCTCATTTATCGGAACACTTTCAACATCATTATGAGGTAATCTAGACAAGTGATCGACAACATGGTTTTCGGCCCCTTCTTATCCCTCATTTCAATATCAAAATCTTGAAGAAGGAGGACCCATCGTATTAGCCTAGGCTTTGCATCCTTCTTGTTCATTAAGTACCGAACCGCAGCATGGTCCGTGTACACTATCACTTTGGAGCAAACAAGATAGGGCCAAAACTTTTCCATAGCAAACACAATTGCAAGCATCTCCTTTTCTGTTGTAGTATAATTCTTTTGGGCATCATCCAAGGTTCTACTAGCATAGGAAATAACATGCAGCTTGCCTCCTGCTCTTTGACCTAATGCGGCTCCCACTGCAAAGTCACTAGCATCACACATTAGTTCAAATGGCAAGCTCCAATCTGGAGCTTGCACTACAGGAGCAGATGTGAGACCTTCCTTGAGCTTATTGAAGGCTCGAAGGAAACTCTCATCAAAACAAAAATCTATATCCTTTTGAAGTAATCCGGTTAAAGGTTTAGACATAGTAGAGAAATCTTTGATAAACCTCTGGTAAAAACCCGCGTGCCCCAAGAAAGCCCTTACTCCCGTAATGGAAGTAGGCGGGGGTAGCTTGGTTATAGCCGACACTTTAGCCGGATCAACTTCAATCCCATTTTTTGACACTTTATAGCCGAGGACAATCCCCTCCTCAACCATAAAATGACATTTTTCCCAATTTAAAACAAGGCTCGTCTCTTGACATCGCTTCAAGACTTTTTCAAGGTTAAATAAACACATGCCAAAAGAGGATCCGCCCACACTAAAATCATCCATGAATACTTCAATTTCATTCTCCAACATTTCAGAAAAAATGGAGGTCATGCATCGTTGGAAAGTCGATGGGGCGTTGCATAAGCCGAAGGGCATCCTTCGGTATGCGAATGTCCCATAAGGACAAGTGAAAGTGGTCTTCTCTTGATCATTAGGGTGGATTGGGATTTGGAAAAATCCCGAGTATCCATCTAAGAAGCAATAGAAGGCATGCTTTGATAACCTTTCCAACATTTGATTAATGAAAGGGAGAGGGAAGTGATCTTTCTTTGTATTTTTATTCAACTTCCTATAATCAATGCACATTCTCCGCCCGGTCACCATTCGGGTGGAGATGTCCTCTCCCTTCTCATTCTTGAGTATGGTCATGCCACCTTTCTTAAGAACTACGTGAACCGGGCTTACCCATTTGCTATCGGAGATAGCATAGATAATCCCCGCTTCACGTAGTTTCAAAATCTCCTTTTTTTACTACCACTTTAAGGTTAGGATTTAACCTTCTTTGAGGCTCAATGGAGGTGGCATCATCATTCTCAAGATGGATTCGATGCATGCACAAAAAAGGGCTAATACCCTTGATATCATCAATGCTATACCCTATCACACTTCTATATTTTCTCAAAACATCAAGCAATTTTTCCAAATCAAGCCCATCAAGGGTAGCATTGACAATAACCGGGTATTCCCCTTCATTTCCAAGGTAAGCATATTTCAAAGAGGGGGGAAGGGGTTTTAGTTCTACCTTGGGAGGAGGCTTAGAACTCTCCTCCAATCTCTCCTCTTCTTGTGCTAGCTCATCATGCTTAGGATCATTCTCTTCCTCTCTTTTGGCTTCTTCAATAGTCATGACAAACTCCTTTGCCTCGTGAGAGTAGTACTCTTCCTCGCATGTAAGAGCCTCAACCATTGGATCTTGAGGGCTCATCATAACCCTTCCCAAACGATCTAACTCCTCACCTACCACATCAATCCTATAACACTTCTCAACCATGGGGGTCTTAAGTAGCTTAGAGAATTCATAAACAATATTTTCATCAGCTACTTCACAAGTAATGGTATTGTTTTTGCAATTAATGACGGCCCCCAATGTCTTCAATGTTTCCCTTCCAAGAATCAAAGGAGTGTTCTCATCCTCCTCCATATCCATTACAACAAAATCACAAGGTACATAGATGTGTCCCACTTGAATGGGGACATCTTCAATTTCTCCACAAGGCAACTTAATCGATCGGTCAGCTAGTTGAATGCTCTTCCTTGTGGGTATCATCTCGATATTCAATTGTTGAGCAATGGTCAACGACATCAGGCTAACACTAGCCCCAAGGTTGGCTAGAGCTCCTTTAGGCTCCAAGTTGCCAATCTTGACCGACAATGTGAAACTTCCGGGGTCTCTTTGCTTCTTTGGCATCTTATGTTGAACAAGCGCACTCACTTGATGTGGACGTGTAATAAATTCATCCTTGAGCTTCCTTTTGTTTGATAGGATATCTTTGAGGAACTTCGCATAAGATGGCATTTGTGTCACCACTTCAAGGAAAGGTAGGTTGATGTGTAACCCTTTCATCACATCAAGAAAATTTGCAAATTTGTCATTCAACCTTCGCTCCGCAACCCTCCCGGGATAAGGTACCGGATTATCATACTTTCTAGTGTCAATCGGGTCCTTACCCTTGGACTTCTTGTCTCCAACTTCTTTCTCAACATTTACCTCCTCATCTCCTCTCTTATCTTCCCCTTATTTCTCTACCTCCTCACTCCCTTTTGGGCCTTCATAAGAAGCTCCCTATCTCAAGGTGATCACCTTGCATGTGTCGGGTTGTTTGAGGTTGTGAGATGGGTTTGTGTGAAGAGTTTAAGGAAGAATTTTCGGCCACTTGAGCTAATTGAGAAGCAACCATCTTGTTGTGAGCCTTAAGCTCTTGGATTTGTTGATTCATGGCTTGGATTTGTTGGAGAATTTGGGTTTGTGTCGAGTCGGGTTGCGATTGTGTTTGCTCTTGATGTTTTTGTGGGTATTGGGTTTGATTTTGGTAGTTGGATTGGTTGTTTCTTTGGTAGTTCCCTCTTGGATTGTGGTTTTGGTATGGAGGAGGGTTTTGGTTTTGTTAGTTGGAATTGTATGGTTGTTGAGCTTGTTGGTTCCATTGTTGAGGTTGATTTGCAAATCCGGGTGGTGGTTGTCTCCGAGCTACTCCACCGCCACTTCCCCAAGATCCATCTTGCCTTGTGTTGTAAGCCGCGACATGCTCCGGGCTCAAACCTCCACAATAAGATGAAATAAACCTAAAACTAAGGGAGAAAAACGCCCTAAAATGTATAATAAATGATACTTATCAATTATTAGTTATAACAATTAAATGAGCGCAGCTCCGATACCGTTTTTGGGTTTTGAAGTGTCTAGAATGAAACCCTCCCATAATTAATTAAAGTAACTAAAAATGCATAAAGGTTACATTGTTTGGCCATACGGCTTTAATTACATTGCTCGGTCGTTAGACCTAGTTGTATATACAACTTTAAGGATAAGTACAAAAAACTTTATACATAACATTTTTTTAGATTGTCCGTATTCCACATACGGGGAATAAGACGGCCATCCAAGGCTTCGAGACGGTAGGTTCCGTCTCGTACTTCTTCTTTAATTTGGTTGGGCCCTTCCCAATTAGGGGTTAGCTTGCCATCTTCTTTCCCTAGGCCTACCGCTTCCATCATTCTCAAGACCAAGTCTCCCAACTTAAGTGACCGCTTTGACACTTTATGATTATATACCCTTGTCATCCTTAGACGATATATTTTGTGCCTAAGCGCCGCATTGCCCCTAGATTCTAGAAGGAAGTCTAGGGGGTCTTCATGGCCTTCCAATTGGCCGATTCATCATATAGCATCACTCATAGAGTGGGCTCGTACATTTCAATTGGGAGCACGACCTCGGCCCCATAGACCAGAAAGAATGGAGTCTCCCCTGTTGAACATTTTGATGTTGTTCGAATGGACCATAGCACATTAACCAACTCATCAGCCCATAAGCCTCCTACAAGCTTCCGCTTGATGCCATTGGAGATCATTTTATTGTATGCTTCAACTTGGCAATTGGCCTTTTGGCGTCCGACCGAGGAAAAGCAATGTGCTATGCCATCGTCACTCAGTCAATCCCTAAGACGGTCAATCTCAAATTGTGGTCCATTATCGAACACCATTGATTGAGGCACACCAAAACGTATGATT